CTACCACCAGGTCCGGAGCAAAATTTAAATTAAATTTTTTCTTCGTGCCTTAAAAACTACGCTATCTAGATAAAGCAGGCATATTCAGTTGGTTAATGTCATGACAACACCTCTGACATCGGACTGAGGCTAATGGACTCCGGCACGGAACATGGTAGTGAATAGACATATTCATAAGGTCATTTGGGTATCCACTAATAAAAGCACAAAAACTCGAATTGATAACGCGGTGAGAATCGAGGTACCGGAACCGGAAAACAGGGTCCTTTAGAGAACCGACTGGTCCGGTTCTTACAAGAACCGAAACACGGTTCTAAATGAATCGAAACCCGATTCCAAAATAACCGAAAAACGGTTCCAGAAGAACCGAAACTCGAATCAAAAAGAACTGAAAAACGGCTCAAGAGGAACCGAAACTCAATTCCAAAACACCCGAGAAACGATTCCAGATGTTAGATAAACGAATTCAAAATTTCTCTGCCGCAGAGGGTTGCGTTAAATATTTAACACCAAGTCATAAAACTTGTATCGTTCGTTGGATTTTCAAAAATGAGGTGTCACATGAAAGGCCTTGTCCTTCAGGAGTACAACATAGCTTTAGTTGTTTAAAGGGTTGCCATATATGCGAAAATCAAATTCAAATTATTTATTAAGTTAAGTGAATTATCCCTATATGGGTATCAAAAGAAATGGTTTTGAATAAACTGTATTTTTTAGCTGCATGTAGGAGGGTTGCCACCTGTTTCAAAAGTCAAATTTAGTTAAATTATAAAAAGTCTTATGCATAAAGTACTATTCAGTAAGCGTGAAAAGAAAGGGTTTAAAGAAACCCAATTAAAATATTTTTGAGGTGCTTGAAGACGGTGACCACCTGTTTAAAAAGTTAAACTCAAATTATTGAAGCGAATTTTATTATTACGATATGTTTNTAATAAAAATAATAACTAAACTTAGACATTGGTTATAAAAAATTAAAACTCGTTAAAAAAAATTTAAATAAATATGTATTTAGTGTATTAGAAAATATGTACGCACATTTCTTTCTTTCTTAAATTCCTCGATTAAGTTTCACTTCTTCCGCGCGTAGGGACTACACGCACTGAGTTTTTTTTTTTTTTCTTCCATACAAAGTATGCTTGACAAAATTTTTACATGGAAGAATATGCGCAGCACCGATAATAAAAAAAAATTGTCGCCCCTGTTTTTTTTTCAAAAATTTTTAAAATCGGATTTAGACGTAGAATATGCTATATTTTTTATACAAAATTAATGAATATTAAACAAACAAAAGGAAAACGAGTAACTAGTAAGTATTAAAAGGGTGCGCTTTTAAATAACGAGGAGTGTATATTTCTTAATTATTAATGCAATTTTGAACTTTTAAAATAAATCACATTTACTTCATTGGTATTAATCTTTTTGTAATGAATATTTACAAAATTATAATTAGGCATATTACATAGTACTTTACACGAAATATGAACCTCTGTAAAGCAAATTTCTTAGGCAAACTTTGGGTCGCTGAAAACGAAAATAATACGCATGATTTCAAAGAAGTGTTTTCGAGATTTGTTCGAAAAACTTATTGTATTTGCACTTTTTTCAGTTAATCGTCAATATCACATGAAAAGACCTACAGCTCGAAAGGTATTGATGGGCCCTTTGCAAATGTATATAATTTGTGCAGATTGTGTTCCGTAACATCTACATTTCTCATCAGATTTTCATTTACTGTAAAAAGAAAATGATTGAAATTTCACTTTTTTCGATTTTGGTCGCTTGTAACACTAATAATTTTCTATAGGGAAGTTTAAGGAGCTTTTCGGCTAATTTTCATCAATTTATTTTAATGTAATATATTTTTGTAAGAGGACTGTAGGTCGCTTATGTTGATTGTTCTTTTGTACCGTACAAAATTTAGAACGCGTTGACTGAGTGAACCTTCAAAACCAGCTTAGGAAAAGTAAATTTTAAAATATCGAAGAAATTGCGGGACAAAGGCAAAAAAATCAGTACATTTTGGGGGTTTTCTGTTTTGAAAAACTACGCAGGACAGACCTTTAAATAAGAGTACGGTCCTGCAAAAAACAGAACGGATGGCCACCGTATTTATAGAGTTCTGACTTGGCCCAGCAAAATTTTGTTCGGTAATTTGGTAATTTATATGTGTTTCACAATATGAAGAGGAAAGCGGAAAGATCTTAAACATCTTTTTGTTTGAAAATATATTTTGAAGAGGGTTGCCACCTGTTTGAAAAGTCGTATTTAATAAAATTGTGCACAACGGTTTTACATACATATACATATGTATGACATTCTAATATGCATATGTGTGTCAAACAAAAAAGTGTTAAAAAGTCTTTAAACATTTAGGGTCAGTTTCTCCATGTCTGGTTAAGACTAACTGCAGGTTAAACATCGATTTCGACGTGATCGACTCCCTGTTATATGTTATGGAGTCGATTACGTCGAGAACGATGTTTAACCTGCAGTTTGTGTTAACCAGCCATTGAGAAACTGGCCCTTAAAGAGTCATATCTATCTAAGTATGTTCATATATTTTTTAAATTTTCGTAAAGTTTTTCGGGCTAATTTTTTTGTTACTTTTCTAAAAAAATACCGTCCAAGCAAGCTCTAACCAAAACCATATAAATCACAGTTTCAAATTTTATACAAAATTTAGGAAGCTTCAACTAACTTTCATCAAAAGTTCAACTTTTTAATCTGAATCTTTAGAACATTTTTGGGTATGCAGTTTTATAGCCCATACAAAAAATCGCGGTGATTTTTGAGAATTTTTTTTGGAAAGTGGTTTTGCGTTTTTTTTTTATATAAAAAGTGCGATTTACAATGGCATTGGGTTTTTTAAACGTTGTTGCTAACGGTGTTCCGCTATTTATTTAATAAAAAAAAAATTAAATAGAAAAAAGTGAAAAACTCCGTCACAAAAAATAAATAATTCTCAAAAATCAACAGGATTTTTGTAGCGGTTTGCAACTTGCACTTCATCAGAGTAAAATTGCATGGGCTTAAAGCTGCATACCCAAAATGTTCTAAAGATTCAGATTAAAAAGTTGGAAATTGGTTGAATTTTCTAAAATTTTGTCAATAGTTTGAAACTGTGATTTATATGGTTTTGGTTAAAGCTTGTGTTATGTCAAATCTCACAAATTCTTATAATTTCGTTTTTTTTTAGTTTTTCTCGAAATATGTATGTATGTAAGATATATAAAGATGTGCATATCAAATCAATTGCCTTTCCAACCATATCCACATTTTGAAATTCGGTTTAAAGTTTTGTTTTATCTCAACGGCCGCTATACCGCATCTATGCCTCAAAACTAGTCTACGATACGAATGAGTGTAACATACAAAGAGTCAAATGAGTTAGTTGAATGAGCTGACTCCTTAAAGTGCGTTGGAGTCATTGAGTCAACTCCTATAAATTTGCTGAGTTACCCACCCTTATTTACTGGTCCTTGGTAAATGGCTTCGAAGTAAGCGCTGTAATGAATAGTCCAAAAAGGTATCTTGTATTCCTTTGAGAATATTACAAAGCAGTTTGGACTGCATTTACATTGGCTTACCTCGTCTCGGTCGAGTTATAGATTCCTCTTAATCGCTCCTCAACTAAAGCGTTCGTCGAGTTGAGACATTATGACGGCTAGTCCATTTACATACATACATTGACTTCGAGAGGTGACGTATTTTGATGCGCTGAACACGAATTTGAAGTCTGTTTTACTCCCTCACGTCAGGATGGTTTCTTAACCTCAAAAAAGCAAAAAAAAACGTGCCTATCACATAATATTCGCCATACTTTTTGGGATTAGATAAAAATCCTAACGTGATGGAGCAAAATGGACTGCAGGTTCGTGTTCAGCGCAAAAAAAACCCCGGCACTTCTTTGGTGTTGCTGTGAAATTAGCCGCTTTGCATTTTTAGGCCTACAGGGCCTACATACAAGCGTAGATGTGTTGATACATGTAAATATGTATTTACTGCATAGATATGCTCATATTTTACTCAGTGTTCAAGTGCGTTGTTTGCTGAATTCATTTTTTTTTTACTTCTAGTTTTGAGCTACATATGTCTATTCTTTTATTAATTTTCTCAAATTTAATTCCTTTTTGTTCCTTTTCAAGTTGCTACATTTTTGCTGATATTTTTCAAGTTTTATGTAGAATTTGTGTTTTTTCCATTTTCTTCCACACTTCTACATTCTCCCGCTGTTCTATGAATTTACGAGACCGTCAGTGTGTCTTCTGTGGTGCACTGGTTCTTTTTGTGGTTGTGGTTGTTGTTGCTGTTTAAGTTGTACATTGCTGGCGATGACCTAATTTCGCTTATAGCGTTTTTTTTTTTATTTTCATTCTAATTTTCCTTTTTTATTTTTGTTTAATTTTTCTCCGGTTCTCATGGTTTGTTCTTTTATTTATTTGTTGTATGTACATATGTATGTATGTATGTATGTATATTTCGGACTCACTTTGCTTTCAAGTTTTTGTTTTATTATTTTTTATTTTTGTTATTTTTTATTATTTGCTCTGTAAATAGAATGATACTTACTTTATCAAATTTATCCATTTCTGAGCTTTTGGAAATCAATTTCCTTCATTTTACATATTGCTCGAGCTTCTGTTGCACAACAACAAGAACAACCACTTATTCAACAACAACACCCTTAGATACATATGTACATATGTATGTGCATAGTTCAAGTATTATTTGCTTAATTACGAATTCGTAATAAGAGAAATCGTTTTTAATCGCCTTTCAATGCCAATTTCAAAGCGTCATTTTGCAATTTCCAGTTTGCTGATGAGGAAAATATTGTGCATATCAAATTTTGCCGACTCTATTGGCGTTAGTTTGCTACTTAAAGAGTTAAGGGCTACAATGATAAAAAGTTATAAAAAGCAATACAAATGTATGTAATGATTGTTATAAATATTGGTCACCAAATTGCGCGCATTTTCAAAAATTGCACTAAATCACACTATACCGCTAAAAAAAAATTTAACTCGCCAGAATACAACCTTAGTGCACATCTAAAGGCCAATCGCTTTAGTTTGACATATCATTTTTTAAATTCGAATGCGTATTATGCACATGTGTATGTATGTATATACAGTGACTCAAACAAATGACCATGTGTTGATTTTTTTTAAATATTCGTAATGTTTTTGTGCAAATTATTTTTATATTTTTTTTATAAAGATCCATATC